TGTAGCTTTGAGCTAACAATGAACATTTAGGGCTTTTCTTGTAAATTCTATAACTTTGCAAAGAAAGGTCATGTAGAGCTGGGAGAGGTCTCATTTTAATCAGAAATTTTGGGACTACAATCATGCACCATTAAGAAAGGTTTTGGTTATTTTTTAGAGTTTCTGAAAAACTGGTTTTCCAGAAAACCACTCTCTGGAGGCCTAGCAGCACGTCTCATGTTGATATTCGGAATCAGCATGGTCGACTACCTGTAGTCCACTAGGTTTCGGCTCGAAAGCGATCGGACAGTTGGGGATCTTCCCTCGTTAGTCCAAGTACTGCGCCCCAAGTACGTGCGTTCTCTAGGGTGAACTTTCTATAATTTTACACATGTTTACAAGTAAAATTATAGTAAGTATTCCTTAAGTTATAGTAAGTTATAGTAATTATAGTAAGCATCCTATTAAGTAAGCATTCCTTTTCACACCTATTCAATTATATTCCACTTGTGACAACGTGTGAACTGTTCACAGAAACTTTTCGCGTCACATTCCGTACACACAGTCGCTATTGAAAGTCATAGAATGATATATAGATGTAAAAAGAAAATCTCATTTGTGAACGCGTGTGAAATTATAGAAAGTTTACACATAATCACACATTTGATGTTGCAACTGCACGAGGCCAACGTCGTGAAACCTCGTTTGGAAGTATAACATAAATGATCCTGGACTGACTTTTAGGTTTTCCAAAAAATCTTGGGTTTCCTGATAAAATCTATTTTTCTCACCTCCAGAAGCGCTTTCATCAGCAACTAATGATATATTTAGAATCGAACCGCATCGAATGATATGTCAGTTGTATGTTTTTATGCGCAAAAAATCGTTTGATTTAATGAAATGACAGGTTTGCAGCATTCCCGTAGCAATTTTGGGGAGGCACGTAAACATGTGCCATAAAAGTGCTACGAAAGCCTTTAAATACTATTTTTATAGGTTTTCGTATGCACTCTTTACAATGGTGTGGTTTACAAGTTACAAGTTTACAAAAAAAAAATTAAGCCATGTAAGGATTTTAAGCTAAAGAATCTTGAACATCCGAGTTTTCTAGAGAACCTTTTACAATAAAAACTTTATCCAAAGCCTTTTCGAACCACGTGGTTGGATAGAGCGTTACATATTGCCGATATTAGGATCTACCATTCAAGATTAGCATTAAAAATACGAAAAATGCGAAAAAATACCCGGTTAGCAACTGAAAACAGGAATTTCACATATGTACATTTTGTAAAGCCTCTAATTCAGCCATCCTGAGTTGTAAAATTTGGCATGGCAATGTGGTACTGATCAGTAATACAAAATTCAGCATAAACAACTATAATAAAAAACTAATTCAATTGATTAAATAAATCTCAGTGCGGCACTGATTTTTGCCAGTGCGACACTTTTTGGGCAGAAATATATCGGTACTAGTTCAGCACTTGCTGGGCATGGGTACGCACCGGTGCCAGCCAGTGCCAGTGACCGATGGCATGCAATGCGCGCTGATGCACACTAGAATTTTTTTATAGGGCTATCCAACCATATGGTTAGAAAAGTTTTTAGATAAAGTTTGACTTTAAAAGGTTTTCTAGAAAACTGGAATTTTCAATTAAGAAAAGTATAACTAAAGCAGCGGTTTTAATCATTTTCAATTTCCAACGTTTCGATTTATTAAAAAGTCATTGTCAAGGATATATACATAAAACAGAAGATTTTCTTTTAAACTGAACAGTATAATTTATATTTATATACTGTACGACTTTCTCTCTTCAAGTATTTTTTTGTCAGTAGTTAGTATAGTTCAGAGAGCATTATCAATTTGCTTTAGTTATTCTCTGTTGGCTAGAGAATTTGAAAATATTCGACAGATTGCTAAACAAAATGGCTATTCTTGGACATTTGTGAACATACGTATTGATATTGGTCTGACTAAATAGCTCGCGAAGCACAATGATAAAAAAATAAACATAGTGACAGGACCAGCGACAAACTGACGGCGTTGCAAACCAAATTCGACCTGATACTGATCCATGTTTTTATTCGAAAACATCGCAGTCGTCTCAAACATTTTTTCAACTGAAACACAAAATACCGAAACATCTTCAGTCAGACGTTGTCTATACAGTAAAATGTGATGATTGTAATGATAGCTATATCGGAAAAACTGAACGACAATGTCTTAGAAGACTTCAAAAACATGGTGCCCCACAAAATACTTTTCACCGAGCTAGGAATTCAAATGGATGAATGATGGAAGATCTGATGCCAAGATTGATGATGCAGTGACAGTACGAGACTCGATCGGTCCATTAAGAAAGAAAAAGAAAGTAAAAACTCTTAAATCGTAGTCAGTTCCACATCAATCATCTCGATTGCGAGAAAAACAGTTAAAATTGTCACAGTTGTCTTCTCACATAGATGGTACACAATCTTCACTGATTAACAATGCAAATACTGTAGAGAATGATGATGAAGTTAAGACAAAATCATCTCTAGTGAAACATGAGGTTGAGACCGAACATAAAATCGTTTGAGAAAATTTTGAAGTTATTGATAGTGATAAAAATTGATATTACTTGCTGATAAAGGAGCGCTTGATGATCAAAACGTTAGAGCCAAAATTAAATTGTACAACTCACTCTGTTTCGATGATCGTTTTTTCAGAAGGAATATCTCGAAGAAAGCAAAGAGAGAAAAGAAAAGAGATAGTAAGTCAAAAACTCGAAATACACGCAGACGAAAACAATTGTGTAACAAAATTCTTTTCTTTCTATTTATGATCTAGAAAAGAAAGTTTAGACAGTAAAAAGAAAAATACTTGAAGAGAGAAAATCGTACAGTATATAAATATAAATTATACTGTTCAGTTTAAAAGGAAATCTTCTGTTTTATGTATATATCCTTGACAATGACTTTTTAATAAATCGAAACGTTGGAAATTGAAAATGATTAAAACCGCTGCTTTAGTTATACTTTTCTTAATGAAAACTCTACCAGTTTATCCGCAATCTATGTATCTACGTTTTATCCACAATAGCTATAGACCTGTGGTTTATGCAGCTAGACTTAGCTCGATGAGCTCTACAAAAATGAGGTAGATCTCATTACTGGCACCAACACTTTAGTATATCGTGGTAGGTTTTATATGGATTCATCCTGTTATTATTTTCTTCGACTGTAGAATTTGAGCAAGCGTTTTTGGGAGAACAATCTGTAGGCACATTAAATAAGACAAACGATAAGTAACCGAATTCATAAATGTTTGCAGAATCGAGTAACCTTTTTTATATCTGTACGCACTTTCTTGCTTTTTCTTAAAATCTCATTAACGGCAAAAGGTTATGCACGAAAAAGCGCTTTAATATAAAGTTCAACCTAAAACAGAAAAAGGAGAAGAATATAAATCATTCTACAATAGTCCATATGATCACGTATTAAAATGAATATTTTAAATGATCTAGAATATCCTGAGGTTAGAGAATGATGTCTAATTAAAACCATCTCTGATAAATTATTTTAATGTTTATTACTCAATTCATGATCACACATCCCTTAGTCCCTACTCACCACACATACGAATAATAAAAGAAGGAATATATAATATTTCTTTATTTTTTAGAATAGTAAAAAATGAATATGAAAAAGAAAACGAAAACAATCAGAAAAATGTCAACATTTGTCTTTCATGATACTAATACAATTTTTTTACCTGTTTAAAAAAAAGCACGTGAAAATCAGAGAAAAACAAAGAATCAAGTTTACAATATGTTCAAGTTGAAACAACAGACAAACGAAAAGAGGAGAAGAACGCATTTGTGCATGATTTGTCGTATAATCTGATCAAAGAAAAATTTTTGCACAGCAGCAGTGATTAAACTAACAAGTTGAGGGAACTAATATCTAACGATCTCGAATAAAAGAGAATAAACTAGTCACCGGTGAGTAAGACAAAAATAAGTTTTTAGTCTTTGAGGAATATCAAGCAAGAAAATAGAACAATTTAAAAAAGACGTATTTTTGCACTATTTTATAACACGTTTTCTTAAATCAAAATGGGCCTGCTTTATAGAAAGAGAAAGTATTTTTCTTTTGTATTTCTTCCCCTTCTAAACATACATACACACACACTTTCACAAATATAAAAAGAATAACTAGCCGATAACTCGAACAAAAAAACAAGATGGACGCTGTAGTTTTAACAAATATTCTGACATTCGTCACATAGAGTTGTTATTGTATTAGGATATGTGATTACTATTTTGCTCCGTTGTTGATATCCCTGTTTCTTTTTTTGCATATTCAACAAATTCATCCAGTAACACAGGCCAAGCACCATCAAAATCATAATTGGTAAAATCATCTTTAATTGTTGTTGAAAATTCTAATAATAAATCCCATGTGTCTTTTGTGATTGATCGTTGTGCTGCTTTTTCTTCAAGAAATTTTAACCATAAATCTAAATATTTAAATCGTTGCTGCTGTTGTTTATGATTGCTAGCAGTGCCATTCACACTAGTGCCACCTGTATGATGATCAAATAACATTTTCCAATATGCAACAGCTAAAACAGAAAGAAATTAGAGCTTAGACTAAAGAATTTTTTACTGATTTGAGACAATCCACCATACCAGAAACGAGAGTTTCCTCTCCAACGTCCAAGAGATCTTACTTAAAAGCCATTTTCCAGTATTTCCGAGCAGATCAATCTGTGATCCATTTCCGATTTGACATTTCAATAACCCATTTTATTGGACATTAGGTTAATACAAACTCTAAGAGAACTATCCTTAAAAAATTGTAATAAGAATATTTTTACTAAAAGTGCCCAAAATATGTTGAATTTTTGGACAAAAATTTATTCTTTAATATCGCTTTAGATTCTAAAAGAGCTATTAATATAAATGAATAAAGGAGACTACGGATTACAAGAATATCAATATTAGATACTACCTTGGCTTAGTTTAAGATCAATACTATAGCAACTGATTCATGACAAAGATTTCAATTATTTAAAAACTGAAATCAGTGACAATTGAAAGAAAACGTATGGTTAAAATCAGTTAGGCTTACTCAACATATTGTGCTATATAGTTCTTTTCGAAAACCATTGCAAAATATCATCTTCACCATAGATCCCGATCTCTCATTTTGTCTAGAGTCTTTATTATTGCAAATTCCCTTACCAAGAGAACATTTTGCAGCAGTTAATCGTGCAGTTGTTCAATACATAACATCTACTGAACGCTATAAAAAGATAGTACTGTAGTACAATTGTGAACACATTCACCTTGGGAGGGATATTCAATGTTTTCATATCTAATGTAAGGCGCCGGTAATTCAAAGTTCGAGTACTATTTTATTTCTGACTTATTTTTGCGTCATTCTATAGAACTCGACGAGCTGATCAAGAATATCTACATTTTAACTTTAAAAAATTGGGTTTTGAATGGAAAATCTTCAAAATACTAGAAGGGTCTCTAATATCGAAAAACCCTTCGGTTTCAAAAAATTCAGATTATTTTCTTTTTCGTTCTTCCAACTTTTCGAACGTAGTTTTTCCAGATTCAGTATTAAAAACTGCGTATAAGAATGATGTTTAATCGAGGTTGAAGTCATGACTTCAACCTCGATTAAACATCATTCTTATACGCAGTTTTTAATACTGAATCTGGAAAAACTACGTTCGAAAAGTTGGAAGAACGAAAAAGAAAATAATCTGAATTTTTTGAAACCGAAGGGTTTTTCGATATTAGAGACCCTTCTAGTATTTTGAAGATTTTCCATTCAAAACCCAATTTTTTAAAGTTAAAATGTAGATATTCTTGATCAGCTCGTCGAGTTCTATAGAATGACGCAAAAATAAGTCAGAAATAAAATAGTACTCGAACTTTGAATTACCGGCGCCTTACATTAGATATGAAAACATTGAATATCCCTCCCAAGGTGAATGTGTTCACAATTGTACTACAGTACTATCTTTTTATAGCGTTCAGTAGATGTTATGTATTGAACAACTGCACGATTAACTGCTGCAAAATGTTCTCTTGGTAAGGGAATTTGCAATAATAAAGACTCTAGACAAAATGAGAGATCGGGATCTATGGTGAAGATGATATTTTGCAATGGTTTTCGAAAAGAACTATATAGCACAATATGTTGAGTAAGCCTAACTGATTTTAACCATACGTTTTCTTTCAATTGTCACTGATTTCAGTTTTTAAATAATTGAAATCTTTGTCATGAATCAGTTGCTATAGTATTGATCTTAAACTAAGCCAAGGTAGTATCTAATATTGATATTCTTGTAATCCGTAGTCTCCTTTATTCATTTATATTAATAGCTCTTTTAGAATCTAAAGCGATATTAAAGAATAAATTTTTGTCCAAAAATTCAACATATTTTGGGCACTTTTAGTAAAAATATTCTTATTACAATTTTTTAAGGATAGTTCTCTTAGAGTTTGTATTAACCTAATGTCCAATAAAATGGGTTATTGAAATGTCAAATCGGAAATGGATCACAGATTGATCTGCTCGGAAATACTGGAAAATGGCTTTTAAGTAAGATCTCTTGGACGTTGGAGAGGAAACTCTCGTTTCTGGTATGGTGGATTGTCTCAAATCAGTAAAAAATTCTTTAGTCTAAGCTCTAATTTCTTTCTGTTTTAGCTGTTGCATATTGGAAAATGTTATTTGATCATCATACAGGTGGCACTAGTGTGAATGGCACTGCTAGCAATCATAAACAACAGCAGCAACGATTTAAATATTTAGATTTATGGTTAAAATTTCTTGAAGAAAAAGCAGCACAACGATCAATCACAAAAGACACATGGGATTTATTATTAGAATTTTCAACAACAATTAAAGATGATTTTACCAATTATGATTTTGATGGTGCTTGGCCTGTGTTACTGGATGAATTTGTTGAATATGCAAAAAAAGAAACAGGGATATCAACAACGGAGCAAAATAGTAATCACATATCCTAATACAATAACAACTCTATGTGACGAATGTCAGAATATTTGTTAAAACTACAGCGTCCATCTTGTTTTTTTGTTCGAGTTATCGGCTAGTTATTCTTTTTATATTTGTGAAAGTGTGTGTGTATGTATGTTTAGAAGGGGAAGAAATACAAAAGAAAAATACTTTCTCTTTCTATAAAGCAGGCCCATTTTGATTTAAGAAAACGTGTTATAAAATAGTGCAAAAATACGTCTTTTTTAAATTGTTCTATTTTCTTGCTTGATATTCCTCAAAGACTAAAAACTTATTTTTGTCTTACTCACCGGTGACTAGTTTATTCTCTTTTATTCGAGATCGTTAGATATTAGTTCCCTCAACTTGTTAGTTTAATCACTGCTGCTGTGCAAAAATTTTTCTTTGATCAGATTATACGACAAATCATGCACAAATGCGTTCTTCTCCTCTTTTCGTTTGTCTGTTGTTTCAACTTGAACATATTGTAAACTTGATTCTTTGTTTTTCTCTGATTTTCACGTGCTTTTTTTTAAACAGGTAAAAAAATTGTATTAGTATCATGAAAGACAAATGTTGACATTTTTCTGATTGTTTTCGTTTTCTTTTTCATATTCATTTTTTACTATTCTAAAAAATAAAGAAATATTATATATTCCTTCTTTTATTATTCGTATGTGTGGTGAGTAGGGACTAAGGGATGTGTGATCATGAATTGAGTAATAAACATTAAAATAATTTATCAGAGATGGTTTTAATTAGACATCATTCTCTAACCTCAGGATATTCTAGATCATTTAAAATATTCATTTTAATACGTGATCATATGGACTATTGTAGAATGATTTATATTCTTCTCCTTTTTCTGTTTTAGGTTGAACTTTATATTAAAGCGCTTTTTCGTGCATAACCTTTTGCCGTTAATGAGATTTTAAGAAAAAGCAAGAAAGTGCGTACAGATATAAAAAAGGTTACTCGATTCTGCAAACATTTATGAATTCGGTTACTTATCGTTTGTCTTATTTAATGTGCCTACAGATTGTTCTCCCAAAAACGCTTGCTCAAATTCTACAGTCGAAGAAAATAATAACAGGATGAATCCATATAAAACCTACCACGATATACTAAAGTGTTGGTGCCAGTAATGAGATCTACCTCATTTTTGTAGAGCTCATCGAGCTAAGTCTAGCTGCATAAACCACAGGTCTATAGCTATTGTGGATAAAACGTAGATACATAGATTGCGGATAAACTGGTAGAGTTTTCATTAAGAAAAGTATAACTAAAGCAGCGGTTTTAATCATTTTCAATTTCCAACGTTTCGATTTATTAAAAAGTCATTGTCAAGGATATATACATAAAACAGAAGATTTCCTTTTAAACTGAACAGTATAATTTATATTTATATACTGTACGATTTTCTCTCTTCAAGTATTTTTCTTTTTACTGTCTAAACTTTCTTTTCTAGATCATAAATAGAAAGAAAAGAATTTTGTTACACAATTGTTTTCGTCTGCGTGTATTTCGAGTTTTTGACTTACTATCTCTTTTCTTTTCTCTCTTTGCTTTCTTCGAGATATTCCTTCTGAAAAAACGATCATCGAAACAGAGTGAGTTGTACAATTTAATTTTGGCTCTAACGTTTTGATCATCAAGCGCTCCTTTATCAGCAAGTAATATCAATTTTTATCACTATCAATAACTTCAAAATTTTCTCAAACGATTTTATGTTCGGTCTCAACCTCATGTTTCACTAGAGATGATTTTGTCTTAACTTCATCATCATTCTCTACAGTATTTGCATTGTTAATCAGTGAAGATTGTGTACCATCTATGTGAGAAGACAACTGTGACAATTTTAACTGTTTTTCTCGCAATCGAGATGATTGATGTGGAACTGACTACGATTTAAGAGTTTTTACTTTCTTTTTCTTTCTTAATGGACCGATCGAGTCTCGTACTGTCACTGCATCATCAATCTTGGCATCAGATCTTCCATCATTCATCCATTTGAATTCCTAGCTCGGTGAAAAGTATTTTGTGGGGCACCATGTTTTTGAAGTCTTCTAAGACATTGTCGTTCAGTTTTTCCGATATAGCTATCATTACAATCATCACATTTTACTGTATAGACAACGTCTGACTGAAGATGTTTCGGTATTTTGTGTTTCAGTTGAAAAAATGTTTGAGACGACTGCGATGTTTTCGAATAAAAACATGGATCAGTATCAGGTCGAATTTGGTTTGCAACGCCGTCAGTTTGTCGCTGGTCCTGTCACTATGTTTATTTTTTTATCATTGTGCTTCGCGAGCTATTTAGTCAGACCAATATCAATACGTATGTTCACAAATGTCCAAGAATAGCCATTTTGTTTAGCAATCTGTCGAATATTTTCAAATTCTCTAGCCAACAGAGAATAACTAAAGCAAATTGATAATGCTCTCTGAACTATACTAACTACTGACAAAAAAATACTTGAAGAGAGAAAGTCGTACAGTATATAAATATAAATTATACTGTTCAGTTTAAAAGAAAATCTTCTGTTTTATGTATATATCCTTGACAATGACTTTTTAATAAATCGAAACGTTGGAAATTGAAAATGATTAAAACCGCTGCTTTAGTTATACTTTTCTTAATTGAAAATTCCAGTTTTCTAGAAAACCTTTTAAAGTCAAACTTTATCTAAAAACTTTTCTAACCATATGGTTGGATAGCCCTATAAAAAAATTCTAGTGTGCATCAGCGCGCATTGCATGCCATCGGTCACTGGCACTGGCTGGCACCGGTGCGTACCCATGCCCAGCAAGTGCTGAACTAGTACCGATATATTTCTGCCCAAAAAGTGTCGCACTGGCAAAAATCAGTGCCGCACTGAGATTTATTTAATCAATTGAATTAGTTTTTTATTATAGTTGTTTATGCTGAATTTTGTATTACTGATCAGTACCACATTGCCATGCCAAATTTTACAACTCAGGATGGCTGAATTAGAGGCTTTACAAAATGTACATATGTGAAATTCCTGTTTTCAGTTGCTAACCGGGTATTTTTTCGCATTTTTCGTATTTTTAATGCTAATCTTGAATGGTAGATCCTAATATCGGCAATATGTAACGCTCTATCCAACCACGTGGTTCGAAAAGGCTTTGGATAAAGTTTTTA